CATATAAGCATAACCAATGGGCACAGACAGTAGGGGGTGAGGCCTGTGCTGGAGGGTGAGAGTGAGCAGGAGAGGTCAATAGGGAAAAGGGAGACATCACATAAAAGACCACAATCAGACGTCAGATATCCAGAGCCCACCTCCACTGCTGCTGCACTTGATGTCTCTTCAGCAGTTACAGCCAACATCTCTCCACGTAAACGTCACTCAAGTCCCAGCCCCGATGGCCTTCTGCACCAAGCACAGTGAGTCTCACACATGAACACTCAAGCCTCTAAGCTAACCCACAAGATTGACTGCAATACCCCAGGCCACACCAAAACCCTGGTGAGTGTTTAGAGAATATGTACCAACCCTCATTTCCTCTTGTTGGAATTACTCTTCAGCCTCCAATTCATCTCACGTCCACTCATCTTTTAAAGGCCTTGGCCACTGGGAAACCATTCTCTCTCCCCAACACTCTACATGACCACTCAGTCCCTATGCTGTGCTGTGACACCCACCTCCCACAAACAGGGGCCCCGGCAGGAAAGCCAGTCCTCAGGCTCACACTGTCCCATCTGAGCAACTATTACCATTATCATCCTGATCATAATTCCCTATATATTTTTAAATAAATTTTTATTGATTTCAGAGAGGAAGGAAGAGGGAGAGAGAGAAACATCAATGATGAGAATCATTGTTTGGCTGCCTCCTGCACGCACCCTAGTGGGGATCGAGCCCGCAACCCAGGCATGTGCCCTTAACCAGAATGGAACCCGGGACGCTTCAGTCCACAGATCGATGCTCTATCCACTGAACCAAACCAGCTAGGGCCCCTATATATTTTTTAATAAATTTTTATTGATTTCAGAAAGGAAGGGAGAGGGAGATAGAAACAGCAATGAGAAATCATTGATTGGCTGCCTCCTGCACTCCCCCTACTAGGGATCTGGCCCACAACCTGGGCATGTGCCCTTGACCTGAATCAAACCTGGGAACTTTCAGTCCACAGGCCTAGCTCGATCCACTGAGCCAAACCAGCTAGGGCCCATGATCCCCTATACTAGTCATCTACAGCCCTGGCTGATGGGTCTCAGTTGCTTGAGCATCGACCCATGATGCACTGAGAGGTTGAAGGCATAGGTCCTGGTCAGGTCACATGCCCGCAACCTATTGATCCTTGTTTCTCGCTCATGGATGTTTTTCTTTGTCTCTCTCCCTCTCGCTGTCTATGTCTAAAATCAATAAAAGTATATATTTTTATAAGGATACCTGCCCGTTCCTGAACCAGCTCAGCCTTCACTCTGAGCCGTTGCACATTCTGGTCCCTGTGTCTGGGAGGACCCCCCACCTCTCATTCCACTCGTTGCCAAAACCAGGGTCCACGTCATAAAGCCCCAGCCGTGGCCTTAGGACTCTGGGCTGAGTGTCCCCAGGGCCCAGGGCAGGAAGAGGGGCCGACAGCCCCAGGACCCCACGACCTCAGAGGCC